TGGACATACTGGTATTTCCTTGCCAGACAGCCCAGTAGCATGTATAGGTCAATGTTAACTTTCCTACAGCTTCTCCTAGTGCACTTGCTATTGCCTGGTGGTGTGTTGGATACCAGACACAAAGCACCTTCCAGCTTTGTAGAGTGTCTCCCAGGTGAGATGTGTTCAGTGTGAAGTAAGATGCTGTCGAGGATGAGCAAATACTAAAGGGTATGGTAGTGCTGGTGGCTAACACTGGGGCTGGCAGGACAGCTGTCTGTAGGTAGTAGCAGGGCTGAGGGTGGTGGTGAGTCCTGCCTGGGCTAGGGATCAGGGATGAGAGTAGGACTGGGAATTAACATTACAGTTGGTGCAGATGCAAAATTAGCTTGCTGAATTTGGATTCTGTGGCTTGAAGTGCTCTAACCAGCGCTGGAACCTCAGCAGAGCAGAGCCCGGAAAGCACTGGGATATGACCTTCCCCATGGCTCTCTAGAGAAGTACCGTTGTGAGAGGCTGGAGGTAGGTGATGCTCTTCCTCCAGTATGGAGCCAATGTCCCTGTGAAGTTCCCTTTGCTTGTGGCGAGTATGTGCTGTTCAGCCTCCTGTCCCAAGCATCATCTTCCTCCTAATCAGGAAAGCTGCCTACAAGACAGCTTTTTGTCTGGGACTACAGTGCGACAGGACTTCCTTTCCTTTTGCTGTCTTGAGCTTGGGGATGGGGTTCTGGGGTCCTGCAAATGCCCTGCTATTGTGCAAGGCTGCCTGGCTGGTACAGCTGCAGCAGAAAGAGTTACTAGCATTGGCAGGAGATGGCTCTGCCCCCAGGTTTCTGGGACCAGCACATGTTCTGCCTCAGTTTCTTTTTCTGGTGTGAAGCTTACCTAGCTTTGCTGTGCACTGCCTGAGTAGTACTTTATTTACAGTTAGTCTGGTTGAGCGCACAGTGACCTATTTGTGTACTTTCTGTATTTTGAAATATGGTCCAGAAATATCTCTAAATGCTGAGCTGTATTTTGCCTGTGCAGCCTAATAATTTTCTATTAATACTTACCTTAGATCTGATGCGCATAAAAATGCAGTGTCAAATAAGGTTCTCATGATATTTTTAAGCACTCTAACCTTTGGTCCTGGCCAAATTCCAATCTGAATAATTACTGTCTGACTACCTACATTCCTCTTGCATTTTCAATTGGAGAAGTTAGCTTTCCCTTCCCATTTTAACAATGATTGTGTAACATTGCTCTGCAGCAGTAAGTAGAAGCTGCATTCTTCTACGATGGTGGATATGTTTTATTGGTAAGTAAAATGAGATTATAGAGGTATAATGGTTTCACAGGCATGTTTATACCTAAATATAGATATGTCTGTAAAACCACTTTGTCTAATGGCTCTGCCATATATTATGTTCCAGGGAGTAAGGGACAGTAGAATAGTGTGGAGCGATGTGTAAAGGATTTAACTTGCCAGACTGGAGTTTGTGATTTGCTAAATTGTTTTGGAGTGGCAAAATCACAGAAAATACTCCAAATACTATGTTGCCCCACACCACCCCAAAGGGAAAAACCCCTGCTCGTGTAAAATACTTTGTAATAAAATATACTGTCACAGTTTTTAAAAATCACTCTTGACTGGTGAAATTGGGCTCTAGAAATATTAAAGTCACTTGAAACAGCTACCGGCAAATGCCCTGTTTTACAACTGCAGCCTTGTCAAGTGCTTGTGAATTTCTCCATGTGTATTTGCAAATATTCACTGAGAAAAAGAATATCGCTCAGGAGGAGGTCTGCATGCTGCCTCCAGTGGTTGGGTGCCTCAAATTTTTACATTTGAACAGCGTAGAAATTAATGGATGAAACTTGCTGCTGTGTATGCAGAAGCACTTTCACAATAGGTCTGGGTTCACCCAAGTCTGTGCTGGTTCACCCATGCCTCTCCTCTAATAGCACACCTTCAAATGGGGCTTGTAGTGAGCCAGACCAGAGGAGGAAGGAGAGGTAGGCTTAGTGCTGGGACATCTGTCCCTTTCTCTGACAGGCAGGGTTTGCATGTGAGCAGAAGTGTGGATAGTGGCTGCTGCTTGTGAACAGAAGTCACCCCAAGGAGCGCAGGGAAGGGACTGCAGGCACCATGAGCAGCCCTGTTGCAGTCTTTGAGCAGCCCATCTGTGTGCTGTGAATCTGCTGCTGCCTTGTGGGAGTGTGCTGGGGCTGAATGGTAGAGGCCACCTCTCAGCTAACAGGGTGCCGCCAGCCCTGGGTCAGGCATGATGTATTGGTATTCCTCTGCTTTATCACATTCCTGGGTCCCACCCTACCAGGGACCCCAGCCTGGACATGGCAGCTGCAATTCTCTCAGGAGACCGGTCCCTGGCATGCAGACTGCCCACGGAGCACCTGAAACACACTGTGAGCACCACAGAAGTCTTCTGTGTGAGCAAGAGACAGAGGGACCAGTGACTTGGGTAGTACGACACAGGCTACATAAGCATTGCTCTGCCTGAACCAGGAGAATACTTATGGCGAAAGATCCAAATTGGAGATGCCAGGTCAGCTTCAGAGGCACTGACAACCTCCTCTTTACGTTAGCCTCTGCCTTGCCCAGGCTGCTCCAGCATATCTGACCAAATCCGGGGGATCTGGCACTGTACAAGAAACCCCATCAGATTGTGCTGAATGGAAAGCATGTCCCCTGGGGGCACATCCCGTGAGCTGGACACTCAGCAGGTTGTCACCTACGTGCTCTTCAGGATCTGGGCTCTTTTCTGTTGCTTGGATGCTAGAGATTTTACTGGCTTTGATGCAGGTGAAGAGAAGGGAATGAGTATTTTGGATGGCATTTTTTTCTGGTGGGAGAAGTCTGTGTTTGGGTGTGAATGTAGGCAGTTGCCACAATCGCCTGCACAGCTCCTGCATCACTGCCCTTTGTGCTCTGAGTTGAAACGCCCTGTGAAGTGTTCCTGGTGGGAGAGGGGCTGGGAAAAACCTACACTCTGCTCCCTGGGCATCACAGCTAGCCATTGCCTAACCAAGCGTAATATACTGTGTGAGACTATGCAGAGGGATCACAGGAGACATATTTTAAAGAGAACAAATATAGCATTGAAGTTAGTGAGCAAGAGAGTGAGAGACAGAGAGCGCACAGAGTGCATTAAAGTTAATAAAGCATTGCAGAAGTGGGGACTGCATTTCACTGTGAAGGAATCTAATTTAGTGACTCGTAATTGGAGGATAACAGTCCTGCTGGAATGAAGTTAGCTGTTCATTTTGCCAAACTCTCAAAGTCTCTTGGTTCTCCTTGTGAGCATCTCTTAGAAAGCGGATCCGTCAGAGAGTTTAGAATCGATTGGCGCTTCACACCCGCAGTCCCTTTCAGCCTCCTAAGTGGATTTGGTTCCTCCGGTGCATATTTATTATCTATTTTATTATCTGCTTATTTATCCGGTAATATCAATCCAGGATACATGTTCTTTGCTTAGCATGGCAATGAGGGAGCAGGTGCTGAGCCTACGTGTTCTCCTGGGCAGGGCAAGATGCAGCCCCTTGCACCCTTTCCGTATGGATGGCTGATGCCAGGTAGGGCTGTTTTCTGGACTTCCAGCTTCCCCAAAGTCTAGCCAGCCTTGTCCCTCCTGCTCTGGCTTTCTGTTAATTTGATAGAGGCAGGTGTAGCAGTCCTGTTCCTGGACCCCCAAGACCAGAGGTGTAGTGCAAAGAAGCACAGGGTTGGTGTATTTATGCCAAGTGTGCCTGGCTGCTGAAGAACAGAGTTTGGGCATGAACACCTGAGCAGGAGCTTTTGTGCTGAGGGAAAGTGTTCCTTAGTTTGAAATGCCTGAAATCTCCTTGGGACAGCAGCATGGCCCTGGGTGGGCACACTGATCAGGGGTGGTGGGGTAGGGACGCTGCTCTGTTTTTGTCTCCAGACCTGGGGTGGGATCTGATATTTACACTGCATAGGTGCTGCAAGGATTAATTCCTTGGTGTTTGTAAAGTGCCTTGAGGGTGGAAAGTGCTGTGGAAATGTGAACTATTATTAAACCAAGACTGAATAAAGAAAGAGCGAGGAACAATCCCCCAAGGAACAGCCCTGCTCAGGCAGGGGCTGGAGAGATGACCTCATCGGGTTTTTCCATTTCTACTGTTATGATTACAAAATAAAGTGGACATGTTCGGAGAAAAGATTGGTGTAACATCCCTGGCTGTAGTAGCTGAGAGTGAACCTCTGTAAGCTCTGTGGGTCTTTCTGCTTCTGGGCAAAAATAGCTCTCACATGGGCTTGGAGGGAATGTCTTCCCCACATGACACAGATCCAGGTTTGGCCATGGCCACTAGAAAATTTTGTATTCCTGGCTTTTTAAAAATAAATTGAACCTTTTATGGGTGAAAGCCATATGGCTGCCTGTACCACAGACTGGAGCAGTGGTAGGAAGGTTGTATGCAATGGATACACACCTACATATACATCCAATGGCCTTGCCCATTTGTCCTCCCTTTATTCTGGAGGGGCTGTGTTGACAAAGTAAGAGGAAGTCCTTATATGTCTTGTCCTTTCAGCCTCCTTGCATATGTCTCCAGCAGAAGGCCAAACTGATATCAAGCACCAGTAATTCCTTTGTATTGAGGGTGAGCACTTAGACATGGGCTTGACATAAGCAATTAGTTTCACAAAGACAGTTGATCAGCTGTCAAAGGACAATTCTCCATCACTTTTGACTTGGGTCTCAGAGTGACATGGGACCTGAGAGATGACATGATCCCATCTTCTGCTGACAGCTGTTCTCTGAAGTGACTCCAAACTCTGAAGTAGAGGCTGGACTGGTCTGACCCCCTCGACTTTAACAGAGGCCCAAATGTAGCCAGAGGGCTGGGCATCAGGCAAGGACTGGTGGGAGGAGGATTAGTGGCTGAGGAATATCAATGGATTTTCCTTGAAGGCTGAGTGCATGACTGACTTGTCAATTAATCATCTTCCCTTTCTCTTACTTTCCCCCTTTCCTTTTTTTTTTTCTTCTTTGCTCAGGGAGTGTAAGAGCTGAAGATGAGGCCCAGGGCGGAGTGCTACTCTCCAAGGTTTTGGCTGGTGCTGGCAGTCCTCGCGACAACAGGGAGCGGGGCCCATGCCCAGAAAAGCCACCCGAGCATTGGCATTGCGGTCATCCTGGTGGGGACCTCAGACGAAGTGGCCATCAAAGATGCCCACGAGAAAGATGACTTCCACCACCTCTCAGTGGTGCCTCGGGTGGAGCTGGTGGCCATGAATGAGACAGATCCCAAGAGCATCATCACTCGCATCTGTGACCTCATGTCAGACCGGAAGATTCAAGGGGTGGTATTTGCTGATGACACAGACCAGGAAGCCATTGCCCAGATCCTGGACTTCATCTCTGCCCAGACCCTCACTCCCATCCTGGGCATCCATGGAGGCTCCTCTATGATCATGGCAGATAAGGTAAATTTGAATTTCCCTCTATCGCAGATCTGCAGATCGAAACTTAAAACAGAAAGAAATATCTTATTCTGTGATCCTCAGGTGTAGTCTCATGGGGCCAAAGGGCTGGGGGATTAGAGAGTCTCAGATTCAAAGAGAGATTAAAAGAGCTAACTGTGTGTAGCACCACTGAGAAGAGCCTATTAATCATGTGGAATTATCTGCAACAGAGAAAAATGGAGGAGGGAAAGGAACAGGTAGAAGAGAGCTGCAAAAGAATCAGCCCTTTTTGTTCTTCCTTAGGAAGGGTAAAGAGGCCCTGACAATTGTGTGGTTTTTTGTTTGTTTTTTTTTTATTTTATTTTTGCCTTTGTTTTGCCTTAGAAGAGCCAAGGATGCTAGCTTGGGTTTTTCCTGCATGCAGCTGGAGGACATTGTGGTATTTTCAGGGACATTTAATACAGCTCTTACGTCTTAATTGGAAAATAATTGAATCTTTAATAAAGCCATCCTCTCTCAGAAGTCTTCATTAGCTCTTGAAGTTAAATAGGCATTAGCTGAAGCAACTAACCAGTCTGAACCAGTTCAGCTAAGTCCTCCTTGTTTCCACTGCACTACTTCATTCCTTCATATCACTGATATTTTGCTGTTTCCCAGGCTGTCTTCCGGGGAATTACTACACAAACAAGCCTTCCCACTGCTGCTTATGAACAGGGCAAGGTGCAGAGAGAGCAGCTTCTTGGGCCACCTGACAACTATCAGTTTAGGGGAGCCTCCATGGGGTGCAGCTGGACCTGATAGAAATCTTCTCCTGAGAAGAACAGGGACTCGGCAATTCATGCTTGAGTGTGTATTTGACCAGTTGGTGTGGCTAATAGTGGCCTTTGGGCTGCCATGGGCCAGTGAGAGTATTGGAGAGAAGTGAGCTGCCCTTTTCCCTGCATGCTCGGTGCCAGACAGTGTCAGGACTAACCCTGTTATTGAGAAGACCCTCTTAACCATACTTTGTGCATCACAGGGACACAAGCTGACATCCTTTTTCTTTTACAGGTCACTCTTAAGTGAATCTGAGACATTTAACTAGGCAAAATTTGGTCTAATTGAATGAAGGGGGAGGATTAAGCTGGCTACTGTGGCAGCTTTTTGTCAGAAAGAGATCTAGCGGGTTGGGAAATTCAGGCACTTCCTGGTTTTATTTACCTTGTAAATAAATAATCCAGTGCAGGTTATCATGGATGAGTAGGTGGGAATAAATTAATCACAAATTATTTTCTCACTCTTTGACCAACCATTCAGTTGCCAAATAACACACAGTTAATATGCAGTGTTATTTTCTCGTATCAGCCTCTGAACTGAAGTAGTCATTGAATAAAATAATCACAGGTGGTTTTTTTCTCTCTCTACTTGGATAGTTGCACATGTGATAAAGCCATTCTGCCCCATTCCACCCACAATGAAGCTTTTCTGTCTTGGAGGACAGTCAGGCAACAACAGTGCATCTTAATGCTCTCCTGCCTGCTGCGTTGCAGTTATCGATGTCTGTGCAAAACAGGGCTGGTGCATTTCACACTCACAGTGGCATTTGATATTCTCTTTGAACAAGTGTAAGTGTTACTGATGCCAGACCTCCTAAGCACTGGGGAAAGGTCCTTGTGACTTTGAACGTGGCAGGCCAAATTCTGATTTCAGATTCCCGCAGTGTAAATCCAGCAGAGCCCCATTGCCTTTGGCAGGATTAGATCAGATTTAGGCTGCTGTAATTCAAAGAGGAATTTGGCCTATTGAACTTCGCAAACATTTTTCTTTCCACCTGTCTCTAGTCTCTCCTTGGGAAGGCAGCATCTCCTGCGACTGCCCTGTGTACCCCACTGGCTCGCTTCGAAAGAGCATTCTGGCGGACAGGCAGCCCACTGGGAGCTCAAAGGTGGAAGCCTTATGAATGGAGACCTCTTGTTTTATCAAACTCGCCTTTTTTGTAGTTTTGCAGGCAGAAGCAGGTTACACACAAAGATCTGCAGTTTTAGGGAAAGGCAAGATTGTTTTTAAACATAAATTGAAAAAGACTGACCTTTACAGCTTCTGATTCACAGGTGCGTAATCTTTAATGGATAATATTTATTTGATGAATTGAATTAAAACATGGTAGAGTGTAAATACATTGATATTCTACTAAAAATACTGAGGTCAGATGGTAAGTCCTTAAACAATCCATTTTCCACAGAGGACCTTGACAGAGGCTTTGCTTTTAGTGACTCTTAGTCATGTTCTTTTCAGACGAGCTGTGTGGCTGGGGTTTGATCCTGCAAGCATGGATTGCTTCTTTCAGCATCCCCTCAACGCCCACAGCAGTCAGCTGTGATTGAACTTGCTCAGCACTTCACAGGTTCAGACCTGCACTTACGGCTTCGTTATGCTCCCTGTGCGTTTGTGATCAGTCGTGCCAATGCAAACCTAAAGAACGCTACAAACCCCTAATGCCTTGGTGTGACAGATAAGGCCCTTTTTGCTGAAGGTAAATGCAAAAAAACCCCTCCTCGGTTCAACCACCTACCCCCGAGTAGCATGTGAAGTTCTGTTTCACCTTCAGTGAGGGTTTAATAGGTGTGTCTGGGAGGAAATTTGTGTCCGTGTGTAAAAGGGACTTTCAATATACTGTGAAGCTGGTAAATTGAGACACGAAAGGGCAGGCAAAGATAAAAGAGGATTTTAAGCCTGAATTTTCTCTTCTCCTGTATATATCGACAGAAATGTTGAATGATGTACACCATAGGTTGCCTTCATCTCAATTAACATGCATTTGGAGGTTTGCTACCTGCTAGTGGGAGGTCTAGGCACCCTTACAGTCAGTGGGGAGGGAGGTGCCACCTGAGGACAATTCATCCCACCCACCCTGGGCTGTGGTGGGATAGTCCTGTGTCTCCCCATTGCTTACTGGAGAAGGCTGTACCCTGTCTTGCTTGTGATGCCTCAAGTTAAACGCCATGAACCCTTGGTGTAACATGGCAGGTGGAGGTATGTTTCTGAAAGTGTAACATCTGGATTCCCTGATTGTGTTGTTTAGGGTCCTGCTCTTTAATACTGCATTTGATTAGATTTTTGTAGGTAACATTTATATTTTCTTGTTTTCCAGCATTTTGCCTTTTTCCTCTGGAAAATAAGTATACAGTCATTTGCATATGTTTTTGGTTTCTCTCCTCTGTGCTCATGTCTCTAGTCCCACCTGTTTAGCTGTTACAAAGTGTTACATTTAATCTCTGCCTAATTTGGCATCGGGAGAAAATGACCAGATGATCTGTGTACGCACCACGATCTGGGTTTAGTTCCAGGAAAACAGTGAAGCACAGACACATGATGTGCCTCACTCGAGCTCTGAAGAGACCACTTTGCCGAGGGAGAGTCTTGTCCTAGCTGGTTCGGTCCCTTTAGGCTCTGACGAGTGTGCCAGCAGTGATGCCAAACAGCAGGAACAGCAGCAGTGGTTTTGTCAAGGCTGGGTGGACTGGGAGGGGCAGCTGAGGAGGTCCAATAGCACCTGCATTAGCTCTTCCCAGGGCAGTAAGCCCTGCAGCTGTGGGGCAGGGTAGAAGGGTGTCCACGCTGTTTTGGCCCTCCAAGGAAGTGCCTGGTCCTTGTTTTGGTGCTGAAACCCTGAAAAGGGACAATAGCATCATCTCACCTGGATGCCTGATGAGAAAGGGAATAGCACTGATGACTGCTGATCTGTGTTTAATCTGGAACAGATGAGATGGAGGGGAGACAAATGTGCACCACCACCAATGCTAGGTTCTTGTGATGCAAGAACTTTGCTTGTTGAAGCCCTCTGGTCTCTTCAGTTTCCCTGAAGTTGCTGCACTGACCTTTCCTTTTATAGCTTTGTGTTGCGTGATCTTAAGCATTAGTTTGCATTGTCCAGAGGACTGCAATGCACTCGTGACCGGTGAGCATATCCGCTCCCACTCCAGTGTTTAAAATTTCTCCTTTCTCCCCAGTTGTTCTGAAGTCAGAAATTCAATCTTATCGCAGTGTGGAAATAGCTGATGGAAGAGGATGCTCTGTGTTAGGAGACTGATGGTGGAAGGAAACCTTCAAGGCTGCAAACCAAGCTTCAGTTCAGATAAACAGGCAAACCGATATCTTGTGTTTGCAGACCTGAGACTGGAAATCTGGGCTGGGCTTCTCTTCATTATATTTTCAATATTACCTGCTATTACTTCTGCCCAGAACAGGGAGGTAAAGGAGCAGTCATGGGAAAAAGGAAAAATCCAGTAACAGCGTACATTTATAGGTATCTTAAGAGATGAGGGAATTGTTGTTCAGATTTAGGACAGTTACTGTGTTGGAAAAGATTTAGCTTCTTGCCTAGAAAGTGACCACACTATTTTGCTGACTGGTCTGGTTTGTAAGGGTAGACTTTTTCTCTGTTATTAAAAAAAAAAAAAAGTCAACTTGGTGATAATGAAAGCAGAAAAGGTAAGAGCAGAAAATGCCTTGGGTTTTCTTATAGCACAACTGGTGACCATCATTTTTGGTGGAACTGTCCCTTGCTATTTCTCCACAGTCACGTTATTTTGCCAAAGCTTCTTGTCCTGTGCAGCTTTATAGTAACACAATGGTGCACAGGCAGCACCCAGGAAAAATATTGGAAGAAGAGGACGATTATGTTTTCCCAGCTGAAAATCATTCTCCTCTGTCTCTGCATCCCTTGCTATTTTCTGCAGGGCTTGCCTGCACAAGGTAGCCATAATGATGGAAATAAAATGGTAAGAAAAAATGATCTATTAAATTGGGCTGTGCCCGTAATAAAATCTGTATAACAGCTGCATGAAACTAACCTGAAATCTAAAATCTGTGATCCTTTCTAGGCCAGATTCTCTCTCCTTTTCTTGCATGGCATAGCACTGACTTTCCTGCTATTCTCTCCACTACCTTGCTCTTTTTTCCCCATTCACACCAAAGCTGAAACTTCTCCTTTGCCTTTCCATCCCCACTTCACATAGCCGTGTCCCCTTTCTTTTTGGGTT